TTTAAAGAACAGGCAAAGACAGTATGCTGAAAAATATTAAAAATGAAGTGTATTGTATGCATTGGTTATATTTGTGGGGAAAGTAATTTTGGAAAAGTTAGGTTAACTTTTGTCAAGCCTAAATGCCCATCTGACAAGTATACTTTCACAAATACATTCTCGTATGTTTTCAGTCCTTGTTTCCTTGAGATCAATGTTGTTTTAAAGAACACTGACTTCTCATACTTGGTTAATAAAATAAAAACAAAATCTATACCAGGCATGTAGGTGAATGTATATTAGGTTAGGTTTTACAGATTATTTTATAAATGTGATTCATATACATTTCTTTCCATGTAAAAACAGTGACTCTCTCTTGTTGGATTATGCTAATATTGAGGAGACTAGAGAAAAGAACCTTGCTCACCAGGTTTAAAAGTAGAAAATCCAAATTGTTCTGTCCATCTGGGACCAGAGAGATAATTCTATTGTAGGTTTTCCATCTTTATTTTCACTCGATTTATTCTATTAAATTCTAGTGATAATTCTAGTATTTATCACCAGATGGCACTGCAATGACATTATCTTGTTACCATTCTTAATGCCCAAGTAGTAGCATAATGAGGTCATCCTCAGACAATGACAAAGTATGCTGAATCACTGCTTCAGATTGCATTAAGCACCTCCTTCTCCACACTGTGATGTCTATACCGTCAGGCTTGCTGGCACAGCTATGACAGCTAGTGCTTTGAATACTCTTTGCCAATTTAACCTTGTAAGAAAAGCTCAGTAGTGGAGCCCAAAACCTATTCTAAATTTAATTTGTCCAGACATTGCCATTAGTAATACTGCCAGCAAATGCTGTCTTTAATGTCAGGAGATGAAGAGCAGCAGCAGCTCCCACCTGTGTCAGATCCTGCACAGAGGTGTGCCTCAGTTCCCTGGCTTTGCATTTCTTAATAGGATCCCAGCCTCAGGCCATCAGCCACTGCCTACTGCATTCCCTTTTTCAGTGAGGAATTTCATGCTTTCCCATATTGCAATTCTCATCCCAAATGGAACATTCACCTCCATCCCCTAACTTAATACTAGTTCTAGTGCTTCCTGGTATATTCTGTCATGATCTACCACTGTAGCTTGTTACAAGTACTGATCCTAACTGTGATTCATTGCAGATTCTAGGAAGTAAAGGCAAATAAACCTGGGAGTCCAAAGACTTCTTGAGCAGTAAATTACAATTGCCTATGCTGAGAAGCTGACTTCAGCACTAATACAGCTGTCACCCTGGGAGTGCTGTTACCCAAGCAATCACTTTGAAGTTGTTCAAGGGTAAGCACAAATAGTTTGGGATTTTCATTTGCAGATCAAGATGTGTACTGTTTACAAGTCTGAAGCACAAAAAAGCTGTCATGACTTTCTTTTAGAGGTCTGAGGCCTCCCTGATTTTAAGCAGTGTCCTGTTATTTGGTATGGAAGTAATGCTGTGATACAGAAAATAACTAGAGCAGTTGCTTCTGACTGTGTCTCGTAAGGCACAAGGCTGGATGGTGTGTGTTTTGGAAGTACACCCAAATCTCTTGGTAGTGCAAGCACTTCGGCATACACAAAACAGAACCTTTCTCTGTAGCCGACAAAAATGAAAAATACTAGTGTCTTTTACAGTTCTGCTCCTCTTTTCTGCCACTAAAGTGTTCTTGTCCTTAGGGGAATAGTGATTGTACTACAGACAATCATGAATGTGCAGAATATTGTATTTATGAATCTTGTATTTAAAGACACCACCACTTGCGAGATCACTAATCCAAGGCTACATGAGTCAGAAAAGGGAGTCTAGTAACACACATGAGGGTGGTATACTACTAATACAAGAAGTTGTGACCTCTTTAAGGTCTTAAAATAAATTCCAGGCCAAACCAAACTTTGTTAGTATAAAATTAGGGTTTTCTGTTGTGGCCTTTTGAATGCCGAGTTTAATAAATTCAGGCTTCCAAAGAAAAACCTTCAAGAATTACAGAGTAAAACCAAATCACTATGTGAACATAACTACTATTCCCCCAGTCTTACGAAATTGCTTTCATGTAGTTCAACTGCAAACGAAGTATTAAATATAATACTACTAAACCTATGGAGAATGGCTGGAAAAGTCTAGCAGAACTCTTCCCATGATATAAGTTGCAATTAGTAAGTCATAAAAATTTAAGTGCATGTTTATAACAGAAGGAAAGCATTGGAACAAGAACTTCAAGCGGCCCATTTTGTCTCCTTTCAAAATGTTTTGTTTGTTATCTGGTGTCAGTGGCAAGCTGTAGCAATCATCAAGCCACTAAGACTCCCAGCAGTTAAGTAGGAGATGAACTGTCTGGTGGTGTTCTGATGAAAGAGTAAAATGTGAAATGATATACTGTAAGTGATTGGAAGATATATTGGAAGTGATTTACAATAGCAGATATTGTTTTTTTTTTTTTTACATTACCCTAACATGTTTGACTATGGCGCATCTGCAAATAGCTCCTGCTCAACAAAGTTTAAAACCAGGGCAAGTATGTGCATTATGGTTATATTGTGAGTGTAACTAATAAAGGTAAGCTGTGGATGCATAAGCATATAGAATATTCTGTTTATTTTCTTCAGATATACTAAGTTTTCTCGTTTCTAGAAGTTGGAATTTTATTGATCTCTTTTACTGGACTGTCATTTACTACTGAGATGCTGCTACAACGAAGGAAAGGTAAGAACAATATGGAATTTGTAAACACTCCTTGCTCCTCCTATTGATTATTTTATACTACACAGGAAATCACGGTTGTATATTTAAATGGTTGTAGATTTTATTTCTAACCTGATTTAAACTGTGTCTGAAAACCATAGCGATTTTATTACATGGTACTGGCAATAAATTAACAAACAGACTACTACTATTGATCTCCTTTTTCCCATCTACTGCGCTTTCACTACAGTGTATAGTCACATGATTTCTAACATATATTGCACTCCAGTTACACGCTTTCCAGTTTAAAAAAGCTATTGGTTTGCTGTAAGTTGTTGATTCATTTTTTTGTCTTAACACCTGTTATTGAATCCTAAATATACTACAAATCATAGCTTTTGGACAGTTGAGGTGATTAAGCTTTAGTGATCCCGTGCTGCTACTCTAGTACCTCCCTCATGTGCCTGAATTCTTGCCTTTGCTAGGAGTAAATACCCCTCCGCTACCAGCTGTATTTTCTGATTTTCAGCGATTTAAATCTGGGTTTAGTTTGATGCCTTACACCCAGGAGTGTGTTGAGAAAGGGATGGGCTGATAAAGTAATTAATGCTGTCTGGGAACTTAAGTTTTCTCCATTCTGGTACAAGCTCAGAATTAGGAGAAAAGGGACTGAGATCTTTCTTGTGCCTCAGACGGAAAAACAAGACAGAAGGACAGAACAACTTAAAATATTCCCCAATGGACAAGGAAATCCCTGAGCAGTGGATTCATCCCTGTGGTAGAAATAACCTTTTCCCGAGAAACCATGAGAGTGGACTTTTTCAGTGTTGTATTAACAGTAATTTTCTCCTGAAGCCTTGCTCTATTGTCACAGTATCACAGTATGTTAGAGATTGGAAGGGACCTCAAAAGATCATCTAGTCCAATCCCCCTGCCAGAGCAGGAACACCTAGATAATGTTACACAGGAATGTGTCCAGGCGGGTTTTGAATGTCTCCAGGGAAGGAGACTCCACAACCTCCCTGGGCAGCCTGTTCCAGTGTTCTGTCACCCTCACTGAGAAGAGGTTTCTTCTCAAGTTTAAGTGGAACCTCTTGTGTTCCAGTTTGTACCCATTACCCCTTGTCCTATCATTGTTTGCCACTGAGTAGAGCCTGGCTCCATCCTCGTGACACTCCCCCTTTATATATTTATATACACTAATAAGGTCACCCCTCAGTCTCCTCTAAACTATCGAGACCCAGCTCCCTCAGTTTTTCCTCATAAGGAAGATGCTCCACTCCCTTAATCATCTTAGTTGCCCTGCGCTGGACTCTCTCCAGCAGGTCTCTGTTCTTCTTGAACTGAGGGGCCCAGAACTGTCCAGAAGTTCCGCTGTGTGATGCAAAATTACATGGGCACTTGAGGCCCTCAGTCTACTATGGCAGTAAGAGACCAACCGATTATCCATTTTCTTCCCCCCACGGGAGGGAAGAGTGGGGAAGGGGAATTCTATGAGGCCTCAGGCAGACTGATGAGCTCTGTCTGAGAAACCATGTGCCAGTTGAATTGCTGGTTGAAGCACAGAGAGCAAAACAACGAACTGGGCGTCTAGCAGGCAAGAAAGAGAGAAAACATAGTCTTATGCTGCAGATAAGACGTGGTCCAACATACAAGAGGGGTGCCCAAGGAAGGAAATGTTTGACTTTGCACCTCTCAAAAGAATGTCATCACCTTCATAGTGAAAGCTGTTGCCGTGTAAGAAATTGTTCTGTGAGTAGCAGATGTAACAAGGTCTCTCTCCACTCAGCTTTGTCTCCGCATCTCACTCGGTGAACGATTTCCCCGTTTTGCCTGCAGGTCCTTCCTCCACTCCCGTGCCATTCCGCAGAGCTCGGGCTTTCCCTTCCCCATCCGCCCTCCAGCAGCCGCCTCAGCCGACCAGACACTGCACCAGGGACTCGCCACTCGCCAGGTCACACCGCCTGGGCACGACCTGTGGCAAACCTTGCGGGACCCGAACACTTCCGAGAACTCTAATACAATATAGTTGCGGGAGGGCCAACCACGAGGGAGTCGAGCTATCAGGGTGCAGCAGGGGATCTTCTGGGCGGGTTATCCGCTCAGGCAGTGCAGCTCACTGGTACGCGACAGACAGACCGATCTCTCCCGGCTTGAAGCGGAACCGCCTCTATGCCGGAACCGAAAGAGAACACTACCTCAAGGACGCCAGACGCCATGGGAACCCATTGCGGCCCTACTGCCACGCAGAACAACATATGCACACACCCCTCCCAGCGCCAGCAACGGGCCCTGGCGGGGAAAGAAACGCGCACGGTGGTGGGCGGGGCGTGCCTCAGGGACGTTACAACTCGCCGAGGTTGGCGGCGGCGCCATTTTGAACTGGCTGAGGGTCGGGGGCGGTGGTGGCTGGAGCGAGCTCCGCGTTCCCCGAGAAAGCCAGCGAGGAGGGAGCGAGTTCTGAATATGGCAGCGAACAGGAACTTAAAACAAGTGCGGATCGAGAATAGCTCCCCAGCGGCGCCGCTGGGCATGGTGGGGGGCGGTGGTGGCGGCAGCGGCAACCTGAAGGGATTGCGGGGCCTAGAAACAGAGAGTGAGGCAGCGGCGGCCATGGCGCTAGTGCCGAGCAAAGAAGGTGGAGATGAAGAGCAGGAGGTTGGTTTTACCATCGACATCAAAAGCTTCCTCAAACCTGGCGAGAAGAGCTACACGCAACGCTGCAGGCTGTTCGTGGGGAATCTGCCTACCGATATCACAGAGGAAGATTTCAAGCGCCTCTTCGAACGCTATGGGGAGCCTAGCGAGGTCTTCATCAACCGGGACCGTGGCTTTGGCTTCATTCGCCTGGTGAGGATTCGCGCGAGCCGCTGTGGGCTCCCCGTAACCTAGGAGTTGCCTTTCCAAGTGGGAAAATTCTGCCCGTTGTTCCCCCTTCCTGCACCCCCCAACCACTCCCCGCCTTTGCGGCCGGCTTTAAAAAAAAAAAAAAAAAAAAAGCAAGTGTCCTTCATTCTTTCTCTTTGCTGCTAGAGCCGTTTCCCCGCTTCCTCTTCCTTCTCCCCCTCCCCTGTTTGCCTCCGTGTATCTAAGCTTGAGGCCTGCATTGTGAACAGCCTTCCTGGCCCCTCGCGTTCGGGTCACCACCTCACTGCGTGGTACCCGGCTGGTTTAAGGGTTCCTTCGCCGGTTACCGTTTACATGCTACTACGCGGGTACTCACTCGTGCAGCCTCTGCTTCTCCAGTGAATGGAAGATGTGGCTGTGCGATCTGCTTTGGTGTTGTAATACCTGTATAAAGACTTCCCTAATTTAACTGGGAGAACGTAGCATACTTTCGAACTCGGGAAAAAAAAAAAAAATCTTTCTTCATGCAGAAGCAAATTTCAGCCTGTACAGTTCATTATGAATGTAGGTTTTGTCTATGAAAACAGTTAATTTTAAAGACTGGACAGGATTGTTTCGAAATACCCCTGCTGACACATCATGAAATCAGAACATGTAATCTCAGAATTGCAAAGAAATGAAACCTTGAGTCGTTTAAATTATTTGGTCCAGATAAGATTTTTAAAGGGTAGTAAAATGTTTAATTGCTATGCGCAAGCATGCAAAAAAGGGAATCGTGAAAAACTTATGATACTGTATTTAACTGTCAGTTTTAGTGTGCGAGATTAGTTTTCCTGTCTGCCGTGTCTAGAATGCACTAATTTATATCATCCTGGGAATAGCTTTAGAGTGCTTTGGGTGTCTACTTACGATTTTTCTGTATATTTTACTGGTTAGGTTATTTTTTCTTCTTGATCGTCTGAAAGATAAATGCTTGTGGAGTTCTGCCATACATCTTTTAAACTAAGAATCCCCCATCCTGAAATAGCAATTTTCTGGAGGAAGTGTGATGTATTTACATGTCACGGCTCACTTTTGGATGTAATATAGGGTAGTTACAGCTTTTATATACGCAGCTTTTCCGTTGTGTTTAGAGAATATGTTATTTTACAACAGTTCAGTCAGCTGAATTCTGGAGAAAATGGCTAGGATCTAAAGAATAATTTAAATGTAAGGAGTTGCAGGTTCAAGCTACGTGCAAATCTCTGAAATGAGAAAAAAGGCAATTACTGATGCAGACTGTATCTTGGATGTGGGTGCAGAAAACCCATAAATGTGAGAATAATGAATACATGAGCAAAGGTAATTCCATCATTTGTTGATGAAAATTGAAATTGGACATCCATTGAGAGTTCATCTGACAGTTGTAATAAGCAAGTGTGATTTTTTTTGTTACTTCAGAACAAAAACCCAAACAAAAAACACCTTAGATCCTGTAGTCTGATCTTTGAAAATGCTGTTTCCTACTGTGTGGAGGCAGGGATACAGAATATCAACATTTGAATGTGTAAATATGAAAAATCAGCAGGCTTTCAACTCTACTGAAAGCCTTTACGGAGCAGCACAAACGTATCTATTATAATGAGAATTTAAGTCTAACACACTAATGTTACAACAATTTGTGCCTATGGTGTGTGGGTTGTTTTTTTTCTAAAGAATAAATCACAGGGGCTTTTTTTTAACATCAGTGGACAGCGACTCTGCCTTTCTCTTGGTGGGTGGGGGAAGTTGAATGACCCTGATGCTAGTTACGGAAAAAAAACCCTGCTTTTCAGATGTGGGGGATGGGTCACTGACACAAAAGCATTACCTGTTTTCTTAGAAAATACTTGATGTATTTTATTTTCAATCTTGAAAAAGGAATCTAGGACACTGGCTGAAATAGCAAAGGCGGAACTTGATGGTACTATTTTGAAGAGCAGACCACTTCGGATTCGATTTGCTACACATGGAGCTGCCCTAACCGTCAAGAATCTGTCACCTGTGGTTTCTAATGAGCTGCTGGAACAAGCATTCTCTCAATTTGGGCCAGTGGAAAGAGCTGTTGTTGTAGTAGATGATCGTGGCAGAGCTACAGGAAAAGGTTTCGTAGAGTTTGCAGCAAAACCTCCAGCGCGAAAAGCTCTAGAAAGATGCAGTGATGGGGCATTCTTGCTAACAACGTAAGTTCACAGGATTTTATTTGAATTTGTGTATTTCTGATGTGAAAGAAAACTGTATTCATGGCTATCCCCTAGTTCTTAATTTTCAATTCTGAAAGCCATGAGGTGAAAAATTAAGATATTATACATGAATATACCAAATGTGCCTGTTTGGTTTTTTTTTTGTGGGTGTTTTTTTTTTTTTCTGGTAAGGAAAACCATCTTTTGCTGCTTCTTGTAATTACAAGAATCCGATAGCAAAGTTTTGCTTTTCCTTTATATACAGTATTATTTCTCTGTATACTAGGGCTTTTTCTAGTGGAACTTATTTTCGTTGATTGCACTCTTCCTGATCCCAGTAACTAGCTGCTAAACAGCACACTCACTATGTTGTTGATACTTCCATAAACTTCAGGGAGGTGTTCCTGCATTTATTTTTATATCAAAAGTTTTATTTGTGGTTTGAAAGGCAGAAGTACACTGATGTTTTTTGTTGGTTTCCTTTTTTTTTTTTTTTTGTAAATGAAGATTGAAGCCTTAGATTATGCAGAAGTTTATGGCAGTGATCTCTGGGTAACTGTATTTCAAGGGCAAGCAAGCTTGCAAATTACAGCACTTTTCTTGCATCTTCTATTTCTGTACATGCCAGAGTTGTTAACTGCTATGCTTTAACACATTAGTTTGTGACATTTTTAACTGCTTTCTTAAAGATTGTGTGAAATGATACACTCAGGATTTAAAATATTTTCTGATTCTCATTTTGGAAAATAAAGCTTTAGTTTCACAGGATGGAAGCTTGCTGCCATCAAACGAAGCCTTGGGTGGCATGGTTTAGTGTGAGGTGTCCCTGCCATTGGCAGGGGGGTTGGAACTAGATGATCTTAAGGTCCTTTCCAGCCCTAACTGTTCTATGATTCTGTAATCAAACTAGGGAACTTATAGTTCATTTTCTTGCCCTGGCTGTGCTGTTGATCTGTCAGCCACTTAGAACTCTTTGATACTTCCATAAGCCACTTGTGCTCAGTGAAACAACAGAAAAGTATTCAGCTGGTTTTGTCGGGTTCATTTTTGTATATGAAGGTGCTCCCTAACATGGGTGCTGTCAGGTCCAGCAGGGGATAAGGCAGGGGAAAATGTTGTGAGGATACTGCAGATGGGGAGAGTGTCTGAAACTCCTCTTTCTCATGATAACCTCATAAATCTTCAGTGTGCCACTGAACTGATCTGGTGGCTACGTGGTAAATTCAGTCTGAATATGCCTTTGCTCTTATCAGTAGGTGCCAGCAATTTGTTCTTATTCCCTGGGTTTTCTTTGGCATTAGTATTGGTATAGAAGCTTGGTGAGCCAAACAAGGGAACTGATCTAGTTGAGAGTTACATGAATGCTATTCTTGGCATGAGAGATGGGGCTGGGAGAAAGAAGCTAGGATATGAGGGATGGTATGCTTCTTTTACCAGCTGTATAGATTTCTTGGATTGAATAACCACCTAACAGTGGCCTTGGTGAATAAAGAGCGCTTGATCGTTCCCTTGCTTATGTGGCTCACATGTTCCCGATGGCGCAGTTGCAAAGACAGCATCAATCTGCGGCCATGATACTTTGATGTTTTGCTTCAGAATCTAAAACTTTACATTTTTAGCTGAAAGCTCTTTGCCTGATCATAAGAAAGTATTTAAATTCTAAATACGTCTAAAAATGGGTTAAATATATCAAAGCTAGGCATTGGAAACATTAGAGATTCAAAAGTGTTTTACATCATAACTCATTAAAACCACAGTTGAGTTACATTTAAATAACATCTGCTAGCAATTGCCGTGCAGATAACATCAGGAAAAATAGTTGCTGACTTGTGTTCTGTTATTCGTGGCTTCATCCTTTGAATCTGCATGCTGTGCCCAAAGTTTTCTTTCTCAGATGTTAATGTTCTAAAAACATACTGATTTTTTTTTTCTGCAAAAAGACCTTCGAAGTGAAGTAAATGGTGAAGTGAAATAAAGGTGTGGAACACAATAAATAAGCACTGGCATTTTGAAAATAGTGTCTTTAGTTCTTATCGTAGGTTATAGGCTATGCTCCCAAGACTGATGCAGAGATGTTTTACACAATTCAGGATCCTTATACTGCTGTCCTTGGCAGTACTGCTAATACTTGCCTCTGATTGCTACAGATAGTAAGAATTCAAGGAAGGCATTTTCATAGATAAATTAGGTTCTGATTTGTGAGAGTATGATTGTTCAAAGAATGGGTTTTAAATAAGCAGAAATATTTTGCTCATTATCACTGAAATATTAATGCCAGATTATCAGTCTGTTTTCAGTTGTAGAGTAACTTTGAAATGTAATTTTTAATATTCTGTGGAAATAAGAATAGGTTTTGTTGCTCTGTTCTGGGTTTGCTTGGTGCTTTCTCAACATCATCATGGCCCATGTGTTGCCTCAGTGATGAAAACAAAAAGGTAGTTCCTTCCTAAATATCTTTTAATGGTTTGTAGGTGGTTTTGAGATTTTTAAAAAAACTTTACTTTTAAGCAAACAGAACTGTGGCAAGTAAATTGTGGTTTCTAGGCATAAGAGCTGGTTTTGGGCACAGAAACAATCCTTTTAAAAGATCATTCTTAAAATCAGGATTAATTTAAATTCTGTAATTTAAGAGTTTGGAAGACAAGAATTACAGGTAACATACTAGCTTTCTGAAGTGTTTCATCAAAATAATAAAATAACTAACTTTCTCATTTATGATTCAATTATTAAATTGAAAATGTCTTCCAGAACACCTCGACCTGTTGTTGTAGAGCCAATGGAGCAATTTGATGATGAAGATGGGCTCCCAGAGAAGTTAATGCAAAAAACACAACAGTATCACAAGTAAGTTGTGTTTAGCTTTGTTTTATAAAATGTGATTGATGTATTTAGTTACCATGGTAAACAGATGCTAATTTCTAGTATTGAGTTTGTGTAGCGGGAAGTATGTTGTGCTGTTTTGTATCAAATGATTAAATAAGATTTTGCCAGTATTTTCTGATCATTCAGGCTTGTTGATTTAACATTCTGTGTATTTACGAAAGTAGATATAATCCTAGCCTACACTGAAATCAGTTGGAGCTTGTCAACAAAGCAAGAAGTCCTTTATGGATTAGGGCTGCGGTCTAATCCTCCAGAGATTTGTATACGCACAAATTTTATGTTCTCTGAATAGCCCCTTAGCTGTTTGTAGAGTCAGTGGAGCGTAAATCCTGGAAGCTTCCACAGTTCAGATAAAAGTTTTGAGTATGGCATGAAGAAGTGAGTCTAGATCATTGGGTGACTTAACGTCCACCTTGTGATAATTTTTAATATTGAAGTTTGATTACCATTTAGAAGTCATGTTGCTTGAAGGCAAAAAGCCTATTTTGGTGAGGCTGTAGAATACCACTTTTAAAAAATGATTGTCATTGTTCATTGCAATATTTGTGTTAGAATGTGAAATAAAAAGTTGATACCTTCTAATGGTTAGACATCCTGGCTAATACTCTTGAGCTGCCTAGTAAGCTTTATATAAATAACGGGTTTTATGAATTGACTGCTTGCTTTAGAAAGCTGAACACAGTTAATCTAGTGTTGCCCATTAGTATTTTGTGCTGATGCAGGCATGAATTTTTACCTTAAAACTGCATAAATAGAACAGATCTTTATTTGGAAAATTCCAGCTGAATTAAGCTTTTTCCTGGTTTAGAATGTAGTCATCTGACAGGTTGATTTAAAGTCAAACCTACACTTGAAGTGATTGTTTATAGATTCTTTGGCTGTTACAGCTGTTGATCTAAATGTGTCCTTCTGTATATTTTAACTGCAAAATTTTTATTAGGGAAAGAGAACAGCCTCCACGTTTTGCTCAGCCTGGAACATTTGAGTTTGAGTATGCTTCACGGTGGAAGGCTCTTGATGAGATGGAAAAGCAACAGCGTGAACAGGTTGACAGGAACATTAGAGAAGCCAAAGAGAAACTAGAGGCAGAAATGGAAGCAGCTAGACATGAGCATCAGCTAATGCTGATGAGGCAAGGTAAAATCAGATAATCTACTAGTATTAATTTTGTTTTGTCACAGGTTTTCTTTGTATAGTATATGGAGCTGTATGCTAAACTTAGGTATTTTGTCAGATGCTCTTTTATTAAATGCATTGAACTGAGAAAAAGGAAGTTGTATATCTCCTTGCACATATACCTTGATGATTTGTAGAGATGGGTTAGGAAACTGAGTAAGAGGCGATTGTCTAGGTCCATTCTTAAATTTATATAGTGTTAAGTAGTTTAAAGAAATTGAATGGTAGTTTCACACCTATCAGTAAAGTTACATTTTTGATATTGCTGGATAGGTTTAAGTACTGTTTATGGGCTATGTGCAGGAAAAAATAAGATGATAGCTCATAATTCTTTTGGTTCTTCTGTGCATCTTGGGTTTAATTTCTAATCTTCCAGTAGCTAATGCTGTTTCTTTTTCCCTTTTGTGACCCAGCTGAACAGTCTGGTGTGTGCATAGTATTATATGTATGTAACAACTTAAAATAGCTCACAGTTGCCATGAATTTCAGTCGTTCTTGAAATCTGAAGATCATATATCCCCTCTTTTGTAATTGTTTGGGCATCTTGCCTTCTGCTAGTGTTGTCAGGGAAGAAGTTTTCTAGGAATTGCTTTCAAGTCCTGCCTTTAAGAATGGAGCTGGGTGAAGCTTTGTTTCTTGGGCAGAGTAACAGGGAAAGTATCTGCTCTTTTGTTCTTGTAAACCTTCTACCCTAAGCACATTTTTCCTGAAGTGCTGTGGACATGCAAGCACTGGTTTCCAGTTCAGAAATACTGAACTACTACTTGATTTTTAGTTCCCTCTGTAGGATTGCTAAATTACAAGACTCAAGCAATAAAGTTTAAATTCATTGCAGATGTATCAGGAAGGATCTCAAGGTTTGTTGCATGAATGAAACACTGAAGGTTTGTGGTGTGGAGGGTTTTTTTTTGTGTGTGTGTTTTTGTGTGTTTGGTTTTGTTTTTTTTTTGTTTTTTTTTTTTTAATCTGAATTTAAGGGAGGTCATGACTACCTAAAAAAAAAATCTTGCCCCTAAAGTGTTAGATCCTAAGACAGTAATTAGCTTGATAGCTTGAATAAATAAAAGTCCCTTGTCATTATGAAGGATATGAACTTGTAGTGGATGCATTTGAAAACCTAAACCCTGGTAATTCATAAAAGCTGTTTGCTGCAATTATTTGGTTTTAATGCTTTTAAGAAATGACATTTTTGTTGGTAGTGCAACTTCCCTGTGTGGGAATGATTTATCTTAATTTTTTCTGCTGACTTGAATGTCATGTTGAAAAACTCTCAATGAGCTGGATTAGTGTATTTACTAGGTTGGTGGCATTTAAGAACCTAAATGCTCGATATATTGAATGTAAACACAGTCCTTTAAAATCTCCTTTAAAACATTGTCATAACTGGAGAAGAAATTAAAAGGAGGAATTTCTTTTTTTATATAGTATTTTTAAATCTACGGCAACTTAAAGTTGTCATGAGGAGAAAGCCTGGTTTTCTGAAACAAGCATGCTTGCTTTTAGTGTGTTAAAAAAGATCTTATGTAAAGATAAAATACAGCACATAGTAAAATGAAAAACTGTTTTGAAATGCTAAATAATTATTGCAGCACCTGAAATAGCAACTGTCAAATTGCTTCTTGGTTTATTTTCCAAGCAAAAAATGTTTATTGGCTTGCATGTTAAGGATAGTTATAGGTGGTGAATGTGGATGTTAATGTGATATAACAAAAATGCCTATAATACACAGCACAGGGCCCCCCTCCCTTTGAATTTGACACATTTTAAATTTTGGTCATAAGTTTGATACTGGAAAAGATGGCTCAGTGCTGAAAATACAGGTTGGGTAAATTTAGTGGGAGAGAGAAGTAGGAGATCCTGTGCCAGTGTAGTAACCCAAGAAAAAGGGAAAGCTGCATGAATTTGAAAGAACAAAGAACCAGAAAGGAAATGCTTTTTTTTTCCCACAGGGGACAAAATTGAGCATAGAATGGGTCAGTTCTTGATCTCAGTGATAACCTGAGACAACCTAAAGGTTAATTTTAAAAGAACATACTCTGAAATAATCTAAAGGTTCCTTGAAAATAAAACCACCACCACCAAAGAAAACCCAAAACAAACAAACAATAAAACCCAAACAAAACCCACAAAACCAAAAAAACCCACAGACCTACACAACCGCCACCAAAACAAGCATGTGCATGTGGCACTTGTGTCAGGTTAACAGTGGTGCAGCCGTCTTAGACAAGCACAGTTAGAATGAAGCTGCCCTTGGACTTTGTGGTTTGAATGAATCTTCAATGTAATCATATTCTGTTGAGGTGTGAAATACATTAATTTTGCAGAAGAGATTGGAAAAAGAAGCCTGCAAACTGTGCTTGAGGAAGGACTTCTGATGGCACTAAGAGTGCTGTGAGAGTAAAACTCTGATAGTCTTCATTAGTAGAAAACAAATCCATGACATTTTGATGAAATGTACTGGTCATTGTAGTTGTTCTGGGTATTAAAGCAAAAAGCTAAGTTATAATATGTAACTAATAATACATGCTGATGGAAGTTTGAGGAAAGCAATCTGCATAGCTATAAAATAATGTTTTAATTAATACAGTGAAGAAATGCATGGAGAAAAGCGTGAATAATTCAGTTGAATAAAGGCATAAAATAGGTGGTATAGGTGAATGTTTCTCTTGGCGTCTATAAATAATGTCATGTGGCCAATATCCTGTGAAGATAGAAAAGGCAAGCAGCTGCTTTCTAACAAAAGGTACAATTAATATTAATTGAATAAAACACATATTTCCAGGGTGAAGTCAGTAATGTGGCTGGGCAGAAGCCAGTACAGAAAAAGTAATGACTATTAATTGCACCCTGTTTTTTATGTGTATTTTAAGTGTTTTTGAATTTTGAAGAGGATACAGCTGTTCCTTTCTGATAGTGTTAAAAGATTAGCCATTTATAAATTGCTCTCAGCAGTTGTGCAGTAAATCTATGCAAGCTTGTATTACATGCACCTGAAGATCATATAATTTGTTTCTAATGCATGTCATACAGTGGTCTACAGTAGGTAGTGGGGAGCGTAAACCCATATATATTTATCAGTTTTCTTGTTAGTGTGACTTCAGAGGTACAAAGCGTTGTGAGAAAATTGATTCCTTGCCCTAGATGTGAAACCAGGATCTGATTAAGAGATTTTAAGTTTTTTCTCCTTTCCTTTGTTTGAGGACTTAAGATTTCTGTTTCTGCAACCTGTTTTGGAGGCTTTGCCAGTCCTGTACCTTTTTGTGTTTGTGAGCTATGGATCCAGTGTGTTTTTTTCATATACTACTAGACTTAGCTTTATGGGAAGAAGCTAGTTGAATGTCTTGAGAAATTGCTTTAAAATGGAATGTTAGAACTGTAATCTGACAGTAATAAAATTTTTATGTTTTGCCACATTGTTGATTGGCAGCTTTTGTCTATTGCATTTTTAATCATGTTAGATCTCATGCGACGTCAAGAAGAATTGAGGCGTTTGGAAGAACTTCGAAATCAAGAACTTCAAAAACGCAAGCAGATCCAACTGAGGTATTTTGTCTTCTACTGTGCAAAGGTGTGGCATGCAGCTGCTGTAGGCTTGCATGAATTTAGATCCTCTAGCTTGTGGAGCTTGCTTTTGATGTCAAATAAAAATGTTTCTCCTGCTAAAAAGCTGCTTTTGGAAAGCATAGTACATGATGATTCTTTTAATGTTCCTGAAAAGTGATCACTTTGACTAATATAAAAGAATGGCTTTAAGTATTTCTGAAGTTTTTAATTTATTTAAGCTCTACTAGTTCTGTTGTAAATTTTTGAGCTTTATAAATAGTGGAGAAATAATGTGTTTGATTTTTTGTTTGTTTATTTGGTGTGGGTTTTTTTTGTTTCATAGTGTTTATTTTAGCCTTGTGATTGAAGCATAGCTATAATAGATACAGACATGCTTCTGAGATTTATGGGCATGTGGAATAGTAGCATTGCAAATTTAAAGTCTGTAATGAGACTTTTGGGGAGTATTTTCACTTGATATTATGGTATATTAAGGGAACATAACATTCTGGTATGTTGCAAACAATTTTTTCTTCAAGATTTGTTCATACAAATACTTGCTTTCATGCCCCTGCTAAAGTTTAAGAAAATAGGCATAGTATCATCGTGTTGATTGAGTTTACATTTTTTACATTAAATATCCCAAGAAATGTAGATGAGAAAAAAGACAAAGCACAAACACCTCTTGAGTTAAAAATATGTCTTTTGGCAGTATTGAAATGCTTTAATCCATAGGAATTTTTTATAAACTGGAATATTTTAACCTGCCAGCCAGTATGTAGCCAGAACAACAGGTATAGAATATACTGGTATTTACTGATATTCCAGTTAAAAAAGATAAATACTTCAATAGTATTCAAACCCATCAAGTGGAGTAGGCTAGTGCCTTACACTGTCTTAAAAAAATAAATGTCCAGTTTTGTTTATATGGTTGATCTTATCTCCTGAAGCTGAGTACAAACCTGAACAGGTCAAGAGTCTAAGTTGAAGTAGTTTTTAAAAACTATTCTAGACATGAGGAAGAACATCGACGTCGTGAAGAAGAGATGATGCGGCAGAGAGAACAGGAGGAATTACGACGACAGCAGGAGGGAGGATTCAAACCCAATTTCATGGACAATGTAAGTAAAATTCTGTGGCAAGAGTGTGAATTATTAAACGAATTTGTAAAACTTGTGATTTTTATGTAGTAGCTGTTGAGCTGCCACCTTCTTGTTTACTTTTTTCCTTCAGTATTCCATTGTTCTCATGAGTGAAGTGCTACAAATTATTTTTCCTACAAGCTGATGATATAACATTTCTTCACTTGGGTTCACATAATAAATTTCCTTTTTTATTTGAGAAAAGAATTTTTCCATTAAAATAAATAATTTCTCTAGGTGGGAAGTCATGGGAGTAAATGATGTTTCTGTGAAGAGGTGCCCTAGTTTGACTAAAGGTTTAAATTTTAAACCAGTTCAGGCTGTTAAGCATAAACCAAAACAAGTAATTCACACAAGCTTAACTTAAGAATAGTGTACTTCAGAAACAAAATGGGCAGTGTTAACTTCGTATGGAGCCTAAAATCAGTGTCTCCTAAGATTCTACTCTAAAATTGGATGAGTAAAACCTCAATCTTTACTAAAGGAGACCAAAAGACCAGAAATGTGGAGGGAAAAAACCCCACAAAAATTGCCCTCTGCTATAATTTCCCACATTATTTTTATTAGTATTCTAGGTGTGTTCTGCTTCTGAAGACTCACCTCGCAGAACTAGCGAAGTGGTGGTGTCAGAGGAGTCAGCTTCTAAATTTTCATGATCTATTTTGGTCAAGGGTATGATTTTTTTATCGCACCCACCCACCCCAACCAAAGCAGTTAAATGAACACAGACTGTATGGTGAATGCTTTAGTTTCATATGAGAAGAATATCTTTTACTGTTACAGCTATTCTTAGTGAGGAAGCAATAAGTGATCCATGCAGTGTTCTCTTAAAACAGAACATTGTAGTCTGCAGGAGGGAATTTTGCTCCCTTTCACAGGTACAGCTTGATACATAAACTGTTGATTTCTCAGATAATTTCTAATTTTGTGTTTTGTGGAAGAAATACCTTCTTTAAATTCTATACCACAACATTTTATGTAGAGTTGAGGTTTTCTGAGACAATCTAAGAGAAGTTAAAAAATAAGAGATTTCCTGTTCTCAGGGGGACATCTCCTCCCTGTCCCCCCATCCTCTCCCCTTAGTGTTCTTAGTAAAGGTGAGGGAGAGGAAGCAAAGTTGTTCCTTTGACATTACTAACAGCTGTCAGTTGATTTTGCTGAAAATAATCTATCACTTATTTCCGTATGTGCTCACACTGTAAAAGAAAACTACTTTCAATATGTCTCTTCTTTGATGTGATGAAGATCGAGATGCATCATGTCCTTCAGTGTGTTCCTACATAAGTTTTAAACATACTTGGTGAAATAGCATGTAACAGCTGTCTGATGTAACTTAGAAATAGCACTTAAGTGGTTGTGGTTTCTCTAGTACCAAATAAGAAATTTCATTTCGCTGTAATATCTTCACGTAGCATCTTTTGGAGTGGCCTGACTTTGTGACACTCTAAGCTCCCTGTCAGAAATCTTGTGGTTGATCTGCGAGACCCCATGCTACTTGCTACACAGAGAGCTGCTTAAAGGGGAAGTGAGGGAGCCAACGCACAGGCATGAGATGGCAGTATCTCCCTCTGATGCTGTTGCTATTAGGAGATGACGGCCTCTACTGTGCAGCTTTTGGTGCTGTGGAAAGCTAGAAAATGTTCGCCACAGCAATCTACTGGCTTTCTTCTTGCAGCTCTCTGGAGGTAATGTTACTTAGCCTCTGTGCTTGAATTGCTTGCTACAGTTGGCCATCCTTGTGCTTATGTGCATCTCTGAATGCCAAACTCTATGTGAATAAAAACTTGGTGGTGCTAGACGTGGCAAAACTTCAGTTTAAGAAGGGGAGAGGAGTCATTCAAATGGAAAGCACTTCAAACAATATGTATAATTTTTGTGACTTATGTGGTGAAATTCTTTTTGGGAAGGGTGAAGGTGGAAGAATGTTTTGAGAGAATGTAGCTTTCCCACTGAGTTACGTTACTGGAATTGTGTGTTAATCTGGAACTAATTAATACACTGCAAAAATACATAGATGTAGCTGTGCAGTGACAACCCTACCAAAATTGTTATAAGTTATATAAGGAAATACAGTACAGGTGTTTTTTAATGTCATGTGAAGTTGAAGTGGCATATACAGTGATTTAAAACTGAAAGTTTCCTCTAGTCCTCAGACTAGTCCTTGGTGTTCTGGTCTTGTGTCGACTCATATTTTACTTCTCACGTCCTTTGAACTTTCAAAGGGGAAGAATTGAAAACAAAATTGGAACTGATGTATTTACTTTCTTTAGCAACTGTTTTTAATAAGGTCAGCTATGTAACTCCAAACATGGCTTATCAATTTTATAGGTTTTTATTATATTTGGTTGTATAGTGTGAATGGGAATTGAAAAAGGCTTTGCATTTTGCAGCTGAGGATTATAAACCACTTCTGGAGACTGCAAAATGAAACATCAATTATTTTTTCAATTTAGTAGAATTTCTCATACAACTATATTTTTAATTTGTTCTCACTAATACTTGTTTATTGTGAACAGACTCAATCTGTTAATTACTTCTAGTCTCAGATTACCATTGTACGTACACTGAAAAATTCTCTTGTTTTAAGGGTTCAAAAGCTGCTTCTTGGTGAAAATTGCTTTTTTTCTAATACTGGTGGATAGTTTTTACCATTTCAGGCCTTGATAAACTGTTTTGGCATAATCCTTGTAACATACAAGTCTTCTGGCAACCATATATTTAGAAGGAAAATAATAATTGTTTCTAATCCTTGTTTTTGTTTCTTAAAAGCTTTGAAAACTAAGCTTCCTTCACTTACCCTTTTTACTGTTCAGTTTAAAAGAAGGACATAAATGGTAAGTGCAGCAACAGCCAGAACTGGAACTTCTCATATAAGGCTGCAGGGCTTTCCTGTTTTAAATTTTTTGTCTGTATCTTTTCTTGTTAAACTTTGATTTTTCAGTATAACTACTTCTGAAAAACATGTTGTAATAATTTAATGTGGTTACCATTTACTTGGTTTAGTTACAGTTAATGTTTTCTGTGTAGGGGTTTCTCTTCCTGAAGCATTCTTGTTCATGGTGATCTTGTACATTAAAAATTTGATTGCATTGATTGCTAATCTGATGGGCAGCCCAGTGATACCTGAGCAATTTATTAATCTAATTGTGTGGTTTCTAGTACATAAGTTATTCATAAACACTTTCATACGGGCTAGGGTTTTTCCCTTGCTTTGTAAAAGTCAGTTGAAATCTGCTGTTACAGCTCAATGTATATGTATTCTGATTTCACAGTGGCTTAACTAGGAAACTTATTTTCCTACAATGTTTTGCTGATTTTTGTTTTGCATGCATACTACTTGCTGAAAGAGGAGCTTGCTAATGGAGAGTGGAAGCAATATTTTATTTTTAAGCAGCTCAAACACTAAAAAAGTACTTCTGAGTGCTAGCAATACGTTAATAATTCAAACTGTGCAGTGGTTACTGTCCAGTTGTGAATGGCTTACATAGGTTTACAATGTTAAATCTCGATCAGAGCCTTTTTACCACATAATTCCAGCTTCAGGACTTTTATTCACCTGTATTTTATTCATCTATTCACTTTTATTCACATACTTTATTATGTCACCAGCTTAGAAGGGTGATGAGTGATTTGGATTTAGTTTATTAAAATAGTTTTCATGTATTCATAATGGTTTTCATTACCAAAATGTTTGAGTTGCAGTCTTAGTTTTATGGTGCACAGATTTAATTCTGCAGTAACACTGGAAATAGTGTCAGGTGTATATTTTACTTAATGAAACAACAGCTGTGATAGCTCTTGTTACTGATGGTGTAAAGTGGGAGTTGAGATCTTCGGATATCCTTGTCCTCTTACCTCCCAGGAACCCCCCCTTTTCAAGTGTAATTTGCATATATATGTGTAAGGAACTGTTCCTTGTGAGTTCATCCATTTCAACTTCTGAATGCTTAATATTCTTTCATGTTTGACTTAGTGAAGTACTTGACTTTTCTATCTCCTAATCTTTTAAAGAACTGTCTCTAGATGTTGTTCTGGTTTCCTTTAGTTTTTCTTACACAGGAGCACTACTGCTGAAGTATCACTTACTTGTGGAAGTATCATAGAATCATAGAATAGTTAGGGTTGGAAAGGACCTTAAGATTATCAAGTTCCAACCCTCCTGCCATGGGCAGGGGCACCTCAGCATAGTGACAGCCACAAAAGCAGTGGAAATTTCCTCAATAGCAGAGATTGCAGTTCACTTGGATCAAAAGCTGTAAGATGGATGAGAACAAGGGACTAAAAAAGCACATCCCAAAACAACAGCGATGTTCATAACCAGGAATGCCAGAAAATTCACATGGGGTGGGGTTTTCCCTCCCCCAAACACCAAAACAAAACTAAAACCCCTAGATAGGTTTATTCTGTCTTCTAAGAGTTTTGTCCTTTGGAGCACCTCATAAATTTAGCTTCCCGTTTCTTTATTTATGTGGAGTTTACTGAGTCATATCTTGTTCCTCACTTCTACATTCGCTTGCAAGCTAAGTAATAGATGTTTTTGAAACAAGCCTATCAGATTTCTGTGGACTTAAGTAATTCAGGAATAGTTTTTTGCATTTGGCTTTTAAGTGACTGGATTGATTTTTTTTTTTCTTTTTTCTTTTTGTTCTGTTTTCTTGCTCCATGATGCTGACAAGTCTTTGTTCTGTAGGAAGTTTGAATTCTCGCTGAGTGCAGAATACCTTATTCAAAACTAAACTAAGCTAAAGCAGATTTTCAATAATAAATTAATAAACATTTCCAAGGATTTTTTCAAATTTGGTCTGTTTTCTATTACTAATGAAAGTTTGTTATTTTAACTTGACAGCCTAGTCAGTGTAGTACGTAATAAAGGTGATGGTGGTGAAATTTTTTGAGGTTGTTTGAATGAAGTCTCTGTTGCTTAACAAACTGCTATAAAGCTAAGCTGCTTTATTAAAGCTCTTCTGTAGAGCTTGGAT